CGTATACATAATTTATATATTTCTTTTCGCGCACGAGTGCGTTGATAAATGTTGAGTTGTCCCGTCGTGTAACTAAAAACTTTTTATCTATCAATAGTTGACTGACTGACTATATAATCGTTAATCGATAATCGACATTATTACTACGTCGATTTTTATACTTTCCCTCTCAATTCTCGCCTATCAAGTCGTTCATTTAGCTGTTGACTTTAGACTTTTGACTTTTGATCGATTTTAAGTTCAGCCGATGCGATGCAAATTTTCGTATTGATTTTTTGGTAAATAGAGCAGCGCAGATTGAGGGAAGACGAGTATCCTTTAGAAGTTCGAGTAGTTCTAGGACCTCATGAGAACATTGCCCGACTATTTCTGGTTGACAAACTTTCAACTCCAGAAATTAGTTCTGACGTTGCTCAGTTTCTCAATTTATCGTTGGCTGAATGTCACAATATTCTGCAGCGTTATCATTTCGAGGAAGAACGGCAAATATCAATATTAAAGGAGAGGTAAGTTATTATTATAATTTGTGAAATAATAATCGATTAGCATTATTTTTACTGTCATGCATTTTGCAGATACAAAGAGATGCGTCGAAGAATAAAGCAGCGGATGGAAGATCTGAAAGTTCGTTTATGAAAAATATAGAGCAGCTAATTATTTTCCTTCTTTTTCTTTTTATTTATTTATTTTTTTTTTTTTTTTTTTTTTTTTTTTGTCGAATGTCAATATTTGTTTCTATTTACTATTTTCTATGAAATATTAGATCTATAACGATCAACACGATTTTGTTTTTGATGTTTTTTTTTTGTCTTTTCTTTTCTTTTTGTTTTTGTTTTTTTTTTTAATCGTTTCTTAAATTAATTCAGTGTCTACAATTGTACGTTTAGCAATCAATTGATTCCGTCAAACTTAAGAATGATTAAGTTTTCAAGGAGTTATATAATATTGCCTTATTCACGCTGAAAGTTTTTAACGTAAATGTATACCCGATGAAATTTTGTAGCATTGTAATGCTTGATTTGTGGTAGCAGGCTACTGCCATTTTATACGTTAAATGCTTGCTCATTTCAGCAAAGACTGATGTCGAGATATTTTATTTTCATTTCTGATCCGTTTGTGATTGACAAAATAATAATCTACGATAATATGACTGAATTAAGAAAAAAAAAAATTGCGCAAGACATTGAGTTGGAATTTCATAATCGGTACTAATTTACCTTTAAAATAGCGGTGCTAAAATACTTTAATTGCATTTATATAAGTGAACATTATGAAATCATTTTAAAGCTAGTTTTAATCAAAATATTATGAATATTATTAATATTAAAAAGTCTTATTGACATTCTAGTATTAGATTTGTATTAACAAAATGTTTCAATGTTACAATCATTATGATAAAGTATGTGTCAAAAATATGTTGTGCTAATAAGTTTTACTTAACATTAAGCAATGATTAAATAAAGTAATGATTAAATTTAAATAAAAGGAACTAGATATCGAGCATAAACAATTCTAATTTATTCGTGAAACACGATTTACGGCGTATCGATTTCGAATTTCGTTTTTGAATTGAATACATGAACAAGTTGTTAGTCAAATCAGCTTTGAAATTTAAGCATTTTAAATGTTCTACATACCATGACGAAAATCATTTATATTGATTTTCATTACTGCAATTTATAAGAATAGTGAATAAAATCATTTTTTCGAGAGATTAAAAAAAATTTATAATGTCTAATTGTACAACTTACAGATATGTAAAAAAAAAAAAATAAATAAATATATATTCGAGATAATAGTATTGTGTAGTAGTAGTGCAAAGTAATTGCATTTGTCATTATCCTTTAATACAAACTCTTATTTTTAATTATTTATATAATTTATATCGTCAAGTGTGTAATATATATATATATATATATATATATATATATATATATATATATATATAATATTAATTAATATAGTAATTTTTTTTTTTGGTAAAATGTGCTTCCAATTAATTATAAAATATTTAAAAAAAAAAAGTTAATAAAAAATAGTATAAAATATTAAATTCAATTAAGTTGTAAAAATTCTTTAAAAAATTTATCATGAATTTATAAGTTTTTTTATGATTTAAACATATAACATTGTCTATTAATATTTTTATATTAAAATTTCTTATATCTTAATATAGAAAAAACAAAAATAAAAGTCCTTTTGTTTTGATAATATAATTTAAGTCAAGTATAAGAATTTATTAAAGTTGAAATTTTTTAATCTTATTTTGATGAATGATTCACTCCACTACTAACAATATATTTATATGGATTTCATTTTTGAATGTTTATTATTTATTATTATTTATATTTTATAAGACGATCGATTATGCATGTACGAAATACCGTGATTAATCATTTTCTTTTACAATAAAATCTATAAATTATCGAGGATCAATTGGAATTTCATTATTTTTATACTAATTAAAATTTTTAACGCATTTCTATTAATTTTTTTTATTTAATTTTTATTAATTTTTTTTACGAATGTTTTATTTTTATTTTACTTACCTTAAACGTAGAATTTTTATATTTACCTCTTGATTGAATAGAATTTAATCTTACCTGATTGATACATTCATTATGCTGTATTAATATTATTAACAAATTAAACAAATCTATGACATTTATTGCTTTACATATTTTAGAAATACTTATAAATTCTATTTTTTTATTTAAATCTTTTTTAAATATTCCAAAATAAAATCGAATGAAAAATATTATAACGCTTTTCGTTAACATAAAGTCTTATGGACTTTTGACAGTTATATCAGTTAATTTTTTGTTTGTTTTCATTTCATTTAATTCATTTTGAGTTTCGACATATGCAAGAATGCCAGCAATTTGTGTAAATACGTTTGATCGAAAAACCTTTAAATTTATTATTCAACTTATTAAATTATTTTATTATACAACATCGTCATTAGACTTTATGAATTAATCGTAATAAATTTTGCCATTGATTTGAGTATTTCGTTGAATTAATGATACGAAGGTAATGCGATAAGAATATCGTGCATTATAATTGGCAATAATGATGATGTTCCCAAGGTATTAAATAATAATATTACGTACATTATAATATTAAGAAGGTTTTTACGCGAGGCGGGATTAAATAATAAGTCGTACACATTACAAATTGGACAGAATGCATGTATTTAATTGTTTATTTATTTATTTTGTAAGGACTAAATAGAGTAAAGTAGATCATTGCAATGTTATGAGGAGTATGAGTAGAAATTATCATACGAGTTGCTAGGAACGAGTACGTATACTCACAACACCGACGAGCTCAGCTGCTCTTTTTATTTAATTAATTTTTTTTTCCTTTATGTTTTATCCACGACACTGATATACGTTAAACGTTACAAGACAAGTAATAAGACAGTTATCGACGCATTTACCGCCAACGAAGTTGTTATAAACTGCAATCTCATTGTTTATTTAATTATTTTTGATTCTTTATTTATAGGCATTGGTTTCGCTGTGTGACTCGTGAGGTCGACAAAAACTGAAGTCAAAGTCGGAAGGTCCTTGCTTCGAGGACTCGATCGGTTTATACATCACGAGGAAATTGAATTATTTTCTATAAGGTGCGGGACGGGGATTTTCTACAGGATTAATGGCACAATCGTATATCGTATATACATGCATACATACATACATATATATACATATGCATATACATGCTTTAGGATTGGAAGAATAGCTTGAAATTTCATTTCGTAAGTCTTACAACTAAGTATAAAGTTGAAAACACTTAGAGGTTGCAGTACCAGCCGACTTATGTCTTCAGATTCGGTCGACGACGACAATGAGACGATACAGATCGAAGCACTTTCGATGGCTTGACAATCGCGCTCGCTCGCTTCATCTATAGCCTCGTGCAATTATACAATGTCGCAAATTTTTCTTATTCTGCCAGCTATCGAAAGTGCCCATAGCTTTGACAAACCAATAAAAAGTAAAAAAGAGAAAAGAAAAAAATACGCAACGGTATATAGTACATTAGGCTCGACGAATACTTCCACAGAGCTATAATATTTTGACAAACGAACGTTATTTTTCGATATACTGGCTCGGTTGACGATTTGACAATTGAAAATTGTACAACTTAAGAGAACTCAATGGTGCGCATCTCTCATTCGTGACACAAGCCACGTTGACTTAACGTTTAAGCCACGCTGACGTCGAGCTCGCTCTTACTCGCTTAAATTCGACAGAACAACATCATCTACTCGCGCGTCTCCTTCTTCTCTCAAAAATTTACGCATTATTGCTTCATGTTTGCTTATAATATTGTTTGGCGAACACAAAAGATCCGCTCGCACCCCCCTCTCCCACCTCAATCCCGGGAACACAAAAAAAAAAAAAAAAAAAAAAAAAAAAACACACACACACAAAAAAAAAAAAAAAAAAAAAAAAAAAAAATAACAACGGCAACGACGACAACAACGACAATAATAAACGCGCGATAAAACAAAGCCGTCGATTCGTCATTCGTTTTGTCTCTCTCGCCTCTCGCCTCGTGAATCTCGCGTTCTACGGGGGCGCGAGCCAATGAATAAACACACAAATAAAAACGTGCGCCGCCTTTAATTTCGGATGCCGTCGCGAGCTCGCGGTTTATCACAATCCGACGCGGCTCGTGCGCCATACAAAAAATACAATACTCACCCGCGGTGGCATCGATGTACTTGCGCGTCGCCCACGCAAATCAAACACTGGGCAACTCCTCTGGGCGCCTACGTGCTACGGCTGCCCAGTCGGATTATTTATTTCACCGTCCTCCACCATCCACCACCCTCGCCTAGCTTTCGCCCAATCGTCGCTATTGTAATAAAGCACGTTAGACGCGATCATTAAAATCCGAATGGGCTTTCTATAAAACGGCCATGCGTAATTTTGACATTTATTTGGATATTCCAATGATGTATTGGGATGGCGACTTGGGCCCAATTAAATTCCTCATGCTTTTATATACAAGATAACACTGCTTTGCGCTTTTTATTTAATGCCCATACTAATTTAATGCTAATCATCATTTCAATCAAAACGAGTTTCCTCTTTAGAGCGCAAAATTTTACAATCATTTTACAATTGCCACGCTCTATCTCTATCTCTATCTCTATCTCTATCTATATCTCTATCTCTCTTTCGTGCATACTCGGACTCGTGCATTTTACCCCACGATAACAAGGATAAACGACGATTTATCCTTTAGTTGCTTTTCTCAACTACTGTACATGAAACTTTTATAAAATATTCGCAAGCGAACCGCCGGAATTCTGCTTTTAGGAGCGCAAAAAAGATAAATCTACTAATGTAGAAATGTCGAAAAACCGTTTTAAATTTATAACTAGAAAAAGTTTTATAGAAAACCCATTATAAAACAGTGTATTATACGAAATCAAAAAGGAAAAAATGAAAGAAAAAAAAAAAAACGAAAAGTAAAACGAAAGTCGAGAGCGTGTAAAATTTTACGATAAACAAGAAAAAAAACAGTCATCATCTTGGCTACACATAGTCAGTGCACAATACATAGTCAGTGACGCGCACAAGCATTTTTTCCTTATTTTGGTTTAATCTTACGGTCGTTCGTATATACGATTACCACGTGTGCCAACTCTCCTTAATCA